CCCGCCTTTTCCATAGCTCCTGCATTCCAGTTCCCACCTGCTTTGAGAGATTTGAAATGCTGTACGGCCCTAACACCTACTTGAAATATGGCGGCACTTATTGTGTCACGCTGGGCGCAGCCATATTAATTCCTCTTGCTGACTACGCAAAAAAACCACACCCACCGCCGTGGAGTCAATTCCCACTCATAACGACCCCATAGGGTTTCCAAGGCAGTAAATGTTTACGGGAGCTAACTGCCACAACTTTCTCCCAGAGTCAGTCCTGACTAACAACCCCGAAAGTCTCGCGATATAGGCGAATCACGGGCTGCGCCAGACTCCTCCCTGGTACGGAGAGTCTTGCAGCCCCGGAAGGGGCGGGGATGTGGCGTTCTGCTGAGGGTGTTGGAGAAGAGGCGGGAAGTTGAGGAGTCCGGTTCTCCAACGAGGAGGTTCTTGCCGCTCCCTGCGGTATGGGAGTAAGGGCGTCATGTTTGGTTAGCGATTGAGCGTCTCTAGCGGTCCGTAATTTTAGACCCTGTTGTGGTTAGTAATTAAGGGGGCCTCTGGTAGCCTCTGGTGGCGTGGTGGTTAAGAGCTACGGCTGCTAACCAAAAGGTCAGCAGTTTCAAGTCCACCAGGTGCTCGTTGGAAACCCTATATGGCAGTTCTAGTCTGTCTTATAGGGTCGCTATGAGTCGGAATCGACTCGACGGCAACGGTTTTTTGTTTTTGGTGGTGGCGCAGTGGTTAAGAGCTGCAGTGAGCCACGGCTGCTAACCAAAAAGTCAGCAGTTCGAATCCACCAGCCGCTCCTTGGAAACCCTATGGGGCAGTTCTACTCTGTCCTATAGGGTCGCTATGAGTCGGAATCGACTCCACGGCAACAATTTCTTTCTTTTTTTTTTTTTACGGATCCAAAGCAGTGATTTCTGCACTATGGGACTCTGTATTTATTGATCTTGCTGGTGGTGGACTCTGAGGAGCGTCAGCGACTGATTTGGGATGTTGGGGGGCGGCTAGTGATTGGGGGTGTCTGTAGGAATGATTCTGGATTTCTCAGGATTAGGGATTGAGGTCACAGAAATCAGTGGCTGAAGCCCCGAAAAGGGGGAATCCGCGTTAGGGTTACTCTGGGGAGGGGTCGTTGTGTGGGGGCTGTAGTGGGTAACGGAGCCTGTGTGAAAGCCTGTGTAGGCTACGCGTCATCAGTGATTGGGGAGGAGGGTGCGTCAGCTCTGAATTATGAGAACAGTTTGCATTCAGCACACATGTCATTGTGTGCTGGGTTTTCTTTTGTGGATTTATGCCTGTAAGGATATGAGGGTCTGGTAAGCGTTCCCATCCATCTCCCAGAGGTTCTGCTTCCGGACTTCAGGCTTTACATTCTTTACCGCTGTCTTGCAGCTAGCTAAGTACAGGTAGTTTCCGACTTATGACGGACAGGGCTGCATTCCCACATCCTGTCCTAAGTCGATTCTGAGGTAAGTGGAATACCTCTTTTTTTCTTTTTAGTTTTCATTATTGCCTGCTACAGGGCAGTGTTTTGAACAGTAAATTAGAACATTGAACATCTGTGAGTGAACATCTGAGAATGATAACATCAGCAAATTGCATGCTGCAACATTGTATGTAGTACATATTACTAAATATACGATGTATCAAAAAAAAAAAAAAAAAAAAGTGGTCGTAAGTGCAGTTTGTTGTAACTTGAATACTTCCTAAATTGGGGACTACCTGTACTTCATGCCTAAGTCTCTCCTTAAAACCCTCTCTCAAAGCTCCTTTGTCTTCACCCTGCTTGTCAGTCTATATGCTATCTCTGGACAGTTTCAGCCATACTCACTGCATCAGCTTTCACCTTTAAACTCATGTCTTGCCAATCTGTAGCACTAGTTCAGACGTTTCGTCTAAGCTCCAGACTCACATAGCCAGGTGTTACGTAGATATCTCTGTGAGGTTTACTCACAATCACCTCAAACTTGTTCAAAACAGTTTTTAAATCTTCCTTCTCCCTACTGTACCTGCTCATCCTACTATATTCTGCATCATGCATCACCCAGATGGCCATACTAGAAACCTGGGAGACATCTAGTTTCCTACTCTCTGTATCAAATCAGTCTTCAAATCTTAGTGATTCTGCCTACTGACATTTCTCTGGTTTGTCCTCCCATTCCCACTCCCTTGATCTTACTTAGTTCAGGCTGTATCATCCTTTGCCATAAACCTGTATCAGGAAAGACCTGTATCAGAGTCTGGGGGAAGTCAGAGGAAGGAGTGGTTTGCTCTATCCAGGAGACATGGGGAAAGGTTAGAAAGGTGACATTTGAACTGTGCCTTGAAAGAACATTAGGAGTTTACCAGGCAGAGAAGGGATAAAGGCATTTTAATTAGAGCCATGCCCACTCTGTGGTTTAAACCCTAGGTAAATAGTCCAGTTAGGAGCAGGAAGAGTGGAACATTCTTGTGGGGGAAAGGAGGGGAGCTGATGAATTATCTAATGTGTTTGACACTATTCAAAGGAGTTTTTCAAGTTCTACTGACGAAATAGGATTATAGAAAACTAAGCCATTAGGAGAAAAATTAAGTCCAGGAAAAACAGGGCAGTAATATTTGAGGTATTTTCTAGTTTCACCTTATTTTAAAGGTTAGTGAGGCTGGGCCTAAGTGAGTGACAAGCTTATCACCCTTGTTAGTTGCAGAGCCCAGGTCTAGAACCCACCACACCACAGTTCATCAATGACAAAACAGGATAAAAGTTTCAAGAAACAGCAACCAAATTAGAAGAGGTAATAAAAAATATAGACCAGATCCACACAAAGACTTGTATGTGAACGTCCATAGCAGCATTATTACTAATAGCCAAAAAGTGGCAACAGTCCAAGTATCCATCATCTGATGAACAGATAAGCAAAATGTGGTGTATCCATACAGTGAGTTCAGTAATTAAAAGGAACAAACTACTGATACATGCTACAACATGGATGGACCTAAAAAACATTATGCTAAATGAAATAAACCAGACACGAAAGATTCTATTATATGATTCCATTTATGTTAAATTTTTAGAAAAAGTAAATATATAGAGACAGAAAGCAGACTAGTGTTTGCCTGGAGCTGAAGGTGGGAGGAGGAATTGACTGCAAAGAGGCATGAGGGAACTTTCTGGGTGATTGAAATGTTCTACATCTGGCTTGTGGTGATGATCGCACAACTCTATAAATTTACTGAAAATCACTGAGTTGTACATTTACATTGGGTAAACTTCTGGTGTGTAAATTGTACCTCAATAATTGTGTTTAAAAAACAAAAAGGACAGAGTATAGATAGAAAAGGATGAGGTGACATAAAAGAGTTTTCTCATCCAGTGAACATAACCCAGTAAATCTATGGATGAGAGTGACTGCTGCAGCTTATTGAACACTCTGTTTATTTTCTCATAGCTAAACCCCCTCTTATGAATTGTGCTCTTTGAAACTTCCATGATATGAGTTTGGGATAAGAGGTGAGTAGGATAATAGATTAATATTGAAAATAACTGTCAATTTTTTATTTCAAAAAGAAGTTTATTCCAGAAGAATTGAAAACTGAAAATGGCAAATGCAACTTAATAGAAATTACTTGTAATCCCACCCAAAGGTAACCATAAACATTCTGATGTATGTCCTTTTAGACATACACACTTTTCTTCCTAAATGAGATCATATCTTACATATTGCTTTATGACCTTTTCTCACTTTTTTCCAGGTCTGTAAATACTTTTTATAAAAAAAAAAAAAAAAATTTTAACTCTGTAGTATTCTATCCTTTCCATAATTGATTTAACTAGTCCCTATTGTTGGACTTCAGGTGGTTTCTACTATTCAGGTGATAAAGCAGCATTATGATAAATATCCTTGCAGATATATCTTTGTGTGCATTCATACGTATGTAGGATCGAAGGAGGGAAAACATTTTTTGACATATAATGGAATATAAATGTTCACAACCTCAAAGTAAAAAAATTTCATGTCTGTGATGGTTAAGGCTATGTGTCAACTTGACTAGGCCATGACTCTCAGTGGTTTAGTAGATATTATGTAATCGTCCTCCATTTTGTCATCTGATGTGAGCAGCCAATCAGTTGAAAGGGGAGTTTCCTTAAGGGTATGGCCTGCATCCAATATGTATAGATATTCTGACAAAGTTTGCCCTCTCTGGATTCTGTATCCAGCTCGTCATCCTCGGACCTCTAGTTCTTGAGATATGAGCCAGCAGCCTACTGCCTGACCTACAGATTTTGGGCTCATCAACCCCTGCAACCATGTGAGTCAGGAGAAGCCTCTAGCCTGACGCCTGACCCACAGATTTGGGACTTGCCAGCTTACATAGTTGCGTGAGCTATTTCCTTGAAATAACTTTCTCTCTATGTATTATATATGTATATGCTTCACTGGTTTTGCTCCTCTGGAGAACCCAGCCTAAGACAATGTCCAAGGACCATCTGGTCTTTTCAGAACTGTAAGCCAGCAGATTGATGTTATCCCAGCATAATCCTTCATGGTCTCTTTGAGAGGAACCTTTGAAAGGGGCAGTCTCCAAAGGTCTTTTATGTAGTTGATCATAGAGATTTATAGGCTCATGATTCTGGGAGTTGTAGGGTGGGCCCAGATTCTCAGTGTTATCTGCTCCCTGCTCATCCAAGCTCTGCCTTTACAGATATCTGCCCTTTTTGCCCTGGGTGATGCAAGCGGTTTGCACTCAGCTACTAACTAAAACGTTGGCGGTTCGAATCCACCCAGTGGTGCTGTGGAAGAAAGGCCTGGCATTCTATTCCATAAAATTACAGCCATTGAAAACCCTGTGCAGTGCAGTTCTACTCTGACACACATGGGGCCGTCATGAGTCAGAATCAGCTTGACGGCAATGGGGCCCTTTCTAAAGAGGAGCAGAAAATGAACAAGTCTCGGGTAAGTGAGCTATCTGTATGCCATTTTGTTTTCCAGTGGAGCTGAGGTAGTTTTAAAGAAATCAACTAAATGGAAAATTAAAAGGGAAAATAAAAAGAAAATAGAAGATCTAGATGAAGGAAATTTGGAACATAGTCACACAAGTTATAGTATCTTTCATAGTTAAGTTGAGCTGCATATCATCTCCAATTATATCATCTTCGTTACATGTTAGATGTGATAATTTTAAAGATTTTTTGGCATTTAGGTCTGAAGTTATTCTCTGGATGGATCTTCACGCATATCGTCCTCAATATTGGTCAACCTTTATAACAGGTTTCTCCATAACTGTTTCTTAGAGAATTTCTCAAAATAAGTGTAGGACATAATAACATAGCAGAATTCAATAATTCGAATTTTCTGGGCACCAGAATCATGAGATCTAAGTACACAGCTTTTGCGAGTCTGCCATTATCTAAAAATAAAATCTATAATTTTTAGAACAGCATTTCTTAGCTCTGGGAGTCTGTGAAATTGGTTCAGGGATTTATGTCATTAAAGGTAATGATAGCATTAGTTTAATGTCTATTTTTTAACCACTAAATAAAATAATCTGATATTTTCCCTTTAAAATGCAATGGGTTGAGAGCCTTGAAGGGCATATCAAATGATTATGCTTGGTGGATTGTGGAGGTCAGGTGAATGTACTTATGTCTCAGTTGGTTTATCACTCAGCTGAACCCTGCTAGTCAGCATCATGTGGTTTTAAGTGTCATACAGTTTTAAAATGTTTTTATTTGAAGGTACATGTTTAATTTTTACTTACAGCATTTCATTGGTTACACCCATTATGTAGCATATAGCTTCAGTACAGTAGTCTTTAAAGTGGGGAGCACACATTTCTCAGGAGATGTGCAAGATGATTCTCTGGGGCATGGGGAGAAAATGAGAACTTGTATTTATGTATCTTTTTAATGAACATAGTATCTCAGTATTGAAGTACATGATATAATTATTTTAAAGGTACATATTATTGATGATGCATCCTTTTTTTTTTTTTTTTAGCTGAAGTGTGTCTATTTAAAAAGTTTGGGTTATGTACCACTGATACCAGTGTACCTCGTCATTTCCAGAGATCATTTTCTTCCACTTCATCTTGGCTGCCAAATCCCATAGTCATTTTCTAAATGTTTAATTAATAACAACTCTACCACCTCCAAGCATTTCACTCTCTGACCATTATCTTCTGTTTCTAGTACCTTCACTCCAGCAAGTGTCCAGCTCCTTCCAGATCTCTGATCCATTGACCCTTCATTTTTCACTGCCCATTATACCTCCCTTCCTCTCTTATTACTTGCCACTTTTCTCAGCTTGAATTCCAGGCTCCTGGGTTTTTGGTCTGAGCAACTGGTATCCCACTGAAGTCCAATTGCCTAGTCATTATTGCCACTTAGATATGTATTATAATAAGTACCTCAGGCTTAACTTGGACAAATAGAATTCTTGATTCCACTCCTCCCCTCCACCCACACCTGCTCGCTCTTGTCTTCTGGACATTAGTGGATGCCAGTTGCTCAGACCAAAAACCAAGGAACCTTGATTCCTCTCCTTCCCTCACAGACTGTCTTTCAGATGTATCTTGGTTGGATTTGATTCAGTATACTGTATACCGTATATTCAGTATATTCAGTATTGTGGAATATAAAATGGGTTTCAGACGGTGATTTCCGTAGATCTTTTTTATTGGGTTTTAAATGTATAATTTCATTTCCATGGAGTGAACAAATCTTCAGCTCCTTTTACTTTGTGTACATTATGCTAGGATGGAATATTGAACAGAACACCCATCTCGTAGCAGTGTTTATCCGAGTTATCTGTAAACTGTTTCTTCACTAAGAATGAAACTGAGGAGTTTATATAATAAAGGAGATGGAAACCTCTTACAGCATTGCTAAATTTACTTGTTTGCCCCCATCTACTAGTCTGTAAGCTTTCTACATTTTATTCATATTTTTATTCCCAGCACCAACTAATGCTGGTCACCTAAAAACCAAAAAAACTCCAAACCCATTGCCATCGAGTTGATTCTGACTCACAGCAACCCTATGGGACAGAGTAGAACTGCCCCATAGGGTTTCCAAGGAGCAGCTGATGGATTCGAACTGCTGACCTTTTGGTTAGCAGCCGATCTCTTAACCACTAGGGCTACTCCATAAAGATTACAGCCTTGGAAACCCAGGGCTGGTCACACAGGTACTCAATAAATGCTTGTTGATTGAAATACAGAATGGATGATTTTCAATGGCAGAGTTTTTCTGAGTTTTGCATCTCCCACGTAGTAGAACTCAAAATTAGCCTCATAATATCTTCTTTAATTTATTATGATGAACGCTGAATGGTGAAAACAGTAACAAGTTCCTATACATCTTTTATACATCACCCAGTGCTTTCTACTATAGATTGAACAGAAATGTCCTGTTGCAGGAATTAGTGTCTTTCAAGGATGTGACTGTGGAGTTCACCCAGGAGGAGTGGCAGCAGCTGGACTCTGCTCAAAGAAACCTGTACAGGGATGTGATGCTGGAGAACTATAGCAACCTTGTCTCAGTGGGTAAGGACAGCTTCCCTCAGAGGGTACCTGTATGAGTTTTCTATTACTGCATAACAATTATGCCAAAATTTAGTGGCTTAAAACAAACATTTCTTACTAACAATTTCTGTGGGTCAGAAATTTGGGAATGGCTTAGCTAGCGGTTCTGGTGCATGGTCTGTCCTGTGGTGCAGTCAGATGTTGGCAGGGGCTGCAGTCATTTGAAAGCTTGACTGGGGTTGGAGGATCCGTTTCCAGGATGGCTTACTCACATGGCTATGGACAGGAGGCTTCAGTTCTTGCTGTCTGTTGACAGGAGACCTCATATCCTCACTGCGTGAGCCTCTCCTCATAACACGGCAGTTAACTTCGCCCAAAATGAGTAATCCAAGAGAGACAGCAAGGAGGAAGTGTCAGTGCCTTTTATGACTAAGTCTCCAAAACCACACACCAATATTCCTTATTGTGTTCATTAGAAATGAGTTACTATGTCTAGTCCACACTCAAAGGGAGGAGAATTAAGCCCCATCTCTCGAAGGGAGGATTGTCAAAGAATTTATGGACATATTTTAAATACACTGCAGTACCCAATTGACTGCCTTTCTTTTCTGATTTACTAAAAGCTTTTGGGTCCCTGAATGCTTAATGAGCGTGGTTTCAAGCTAATAGAGTAAAAAAATATTAATTTTGAGTACCAAAAATTGTGCTTCTATCTCTCCAGTGAACTTGGATGAAAAGGAAATGAGTACTGCATTCTTCTCATTCTTGGGAGATTGAAGACAATAGGCTGGGCCCAAATTCTTTGTTTTTATAAGTGTTTACAAGTGTTCAAATCTTAACTATACAACTTGATTAATTTTTAAATACGTGTACATCTGCATAACTACTACCCAGATCAAGACATAGAACATTTTCAGCACACCAGAAGGCTCCCTTGAGCCTCTTGCCAGTTACCTCATCATAGGTAACTGTTCTGGCTTTTGTCACTATAATTTTGTCTGTTCTTAATTTCATGTAAGTAGAACCACCCAGTAAGTAAGTTTTTGCTGTCTAGCATCTTTAACATATTTGCGAAATTCATAAATGTTGTTACATGTAACAGTAGCTTGTTCCTTCTTATTGCTGCGTTATATTCCATTTAATGAGTATACAATAATTTATCCTTTTTTTTACCCATCCTACTGTTAATGGTCTTTTGGGTTGTTTCAGATTTGGGCTGTTAGAAATAAAACTGTTATGAACATCCTTGTACATAGTTTCTGGTAGACATAAGCATTCATTTCTATTGAGTATATACATAAGAGTGGAATTGCTAGGTTATGGGGTATATGTATATTTAGCTTTAGTAGATATTACCAGTTTTTCAAAGAGGCTATACCAATTTGCATTTCTGCCAGCAATGTATGAGAGTTCCATCAATGCTTGGTAACGTCAGTGTTTTTAATTAGCCATTCTGGTGGATTTGTAGTGTGCCTGAGTTCAGTAATGGTTGATTGTCCACCAATGCCCAAGTCCTATATTATTTCCCATAAACAGGGTATCAGTCTCTGAAGTCAGATTTAATCTTCTTGTTGAAGCAAGAAGAATCATTGATGGAGGAAGGAGAAATCTCAAGCTGGGTCTATTCAGGTGAGAACTTGGCAGATGGGAGGCAGGAAAGTAATAATTCCTATTGATCAGTGAGATATTTATCTTTTTTTTTTATTGTACTTTAGATGAAGGTTTACAGAGCAAACAAGTTTCTTATTAAACAATTAATACACATATTGTTTTGTGACATTGGTTGCCAACCCCACGACATGTCAGCACTTTCCCCTTTTCGACCTTGTGTTCCCCATTACCAGCTTTTCTGTCTTCTGCCTTGCCCCTGGGATGTTGTGCCCATTTAGTCTTGTTTTGTTTTATGGGCCTGCCTATTCTTTGGCTGAAGGGTGAACCTCAGGAGTGGCTTCATTACTGAGCTATAAAGGTGTCTCAGGGTTTCTCCAGTCTCTGTTAGACCAGTTAGTCTGGTCTTTCTGTGTGTGTGTGCATGTGTTAGAATTTTGTTCTACATTTTTTTCCAGCTCTGTTCGGGACCCTCTTTTGTGATTCCTGTCAGAACAGTTGGTAGTGGTAGCCGGGCACCATCTAGTTGTGCTGGACTCCGTCTAGTGGAGGCTGTGGTAATTGTGGTCCATTAGTCCTTTGGACTAATCTTTCCCTTGTGTCTTTGGTTTTCTTCTTTCTCCCTTGCTCTAGACGGGGTGAGACCAGTGGAGTATCTTAGATGACCACTCACAAGCTTTTAAGACCCCAGACACTACTCACCAAAGTAGAATGTAGAACATTTCTTTATGAACGGTGCTACGCCAGTTGAGCTAGATGTTCCCTGAGACCCTGGTCCCCACAGCCCTCGGCACAGTAATTTGGTCCCTTCGGGAGAGATCAGTGAGATGTTTATCTTTGAAATATTTTTAGAAGTCATTTTTTCAGGCCATAAGACTTTCAGAAACAACTGAAGACAGTTGATGTGGGATTCTGAAATATGTAAATTACATTGCTACATATGAAACACTCTGCTTGACTTTTAGAGAGAGAGATTGACTGTTTTACCTATACTCTGGATCTTTTCCATGCGTACTTCATTTAGGACATTTCTTAATTGGTTAGCCTCCTTTTTGCTAACATCCTCAGCACCCCATTATCAAAATTGACTTATACTTGTCTTCTTATGCATTCAGGCATTCCAAGGTACACTGTCTTTCAAAGTAACATATTGAGTGATATTTATTTCCTTTGTAATTACCTTCTGTTTTTCTCGGCTTCCTTTCAGTATGAAGTATCTTGGAGTTATAATCTACAGCCAGAATCTCATTTATCATTCTCTCCTTAATCTCTGCAATCAGATTCCATGTACCCTCTATAAAGCCTCAAAGTACAACTGCCTTTGAAATGATCACTATTTTCTTACAGATCTTTCTGCTGCATTGGTTAACGTTGACCACTCTTTGTCAAATTCTTTCCCCCTTTAGCTTGGGAAATACACTAGCTTAGTTTTATTCTACCACTTTAGTTTCTCTTTACTTTTAATTTTTTTTGTCTTAACAGCTTTATTGAGGTATAATTGACATAAATAAACTGCAGATATTTAAAATACACAGTTTGATAAGTTTTGATATCTGTATATACTCAGGAAACCATCCCATAATCAAGGTAATGAATATATCCATCACCCTCAAAAGTTTTATTGTACCCCGTTGCAATCCCTCCCTTCCATTCTCCCTGCCTCTACCCCATCCCCAGGCTTTCTATCATTATATATTAGTTTGCATTTTCTAGAATTCTGTATAAATTAAATCATATAGTACATACTCCTTTTTGTTTGGCTTCTTTAACTCAACGTAATTATTTTGAGATTCACCCATGTTGTTTTGTGTATGAAGAGTTTATTTCTTTATATTGCTGAGTGGTGTTCCATTCTGTGGACATACCACAATATGTTTATCCATTTACCTGTTGATGGATATTTGTGTTTCCAGTTTTTGGCTGTTAAACAAATAAAACTGCTATGAACAAGGCCTTATATGGACAATATTTAGTTTTTGAGTATTGGGGATTTTCCATATACCTTTCTGTTATTGGTTTCTAATTTAATTACATTGTGGTCAGAGAAAAAACATTTTGAATGACCTGTATCTTCTAAAGACACTGAGACTGTGTTATGGCGTACAACATGAACCAGACTGGGAAACGTCCTCTTAGCTTCACTTCTGCTACATCTTCCTAGTTTTGTTCTACCACTTTAGGTTATTCACTGCTTATGTAATTTTTTATCTTCTTCACCAATTTGAGATGATCCTGAGGTCTTTCAATTTCTTTCAGTTGCTTTTAATATAGTAGGTCTGTCAAAGTGCGCATCCATTCGTAAGTTTTAAACTGCTACTTCTATACTGAATCAACTCAATGGCAACTAACAACAATAACAACAACTTCTATACTGATGACTCCCTTATTGCCATCTCCTACCCCTTTATCTTTCTTGCATTCTAACCTCCTTTTAATCTGCTAGTAGGACCACTCTTGATGTTCCCACCTTTATTCATAATGTAAGGAATTGAAATCATCATCTTCCTTCTTACGTCAGAACTTTTACATCTTCCCCATTTTTTCAGGTTCTACTGTGCTTTTTAGCCCAGCCATCAAGGACTCTCCTGAAATTTTCCTTCTCGGTCATCCTCTCTTACAGATTTACCTGAAATTCTTCTTATTTTTTTAATGAAAAAAAATTTTCACTCACCCTCACCATTGGTGATCCTTGCCATCAAGGATCATTGTGAGCTTCTCCAAGTTGACTCCTGTGTCCTTTTGACACACCCAGATTAATCTTTGAGTGCTTCCCTGCTCTCTGGCATAAAGTATCCCAGACTTAACACAGGACTTTCCCCGTTTCAGATGTGGAATCAGCCACTTCTGGAAAGGGCCTGTCCCATCTTGTATTTGGCCCTTTAAGATGCTTGTACTTTGAAATACCTTCCCTATAGTTGTACTCTAATATGCCTGGTTACTTTTTGTTTTATTTATTGTACTTTAGATGAAGGTTTACAGAGTAAACAAGTTTCTCATAAAATAATTAATGCACATACTTTTTGTGACATTGGTTGCCAACCACGTGACGTGTCAACACTCTCCACTTTTCGACCTTGGGTTCGCCATTACCAGCTTTCCTGTCTCTTCCTGCCTTCTAGTCCTTGCCCCTGGGCTGGTGTGCTCATTTAATCTCATTTTGTTTTATTGGCCTGTCTAATCTTTGGCTGAAGGGTGAACCTCAGGAGTGACTTCAGTACTGAGCTATAATGGTATCTAGGGGCCATATTCTCGAGGTTTCTCCAGTCTATCAGACCAATAAATCTGTTTTTTTTGTGAGTTAGAATTTTGTTCTACATTTTTCTCTAGCTCTGTTCGGGACCATCTATTGTGATCACTGTCAGAACAGTCTGTGGTTGTAGCCGGACACCATCTAGTTGTGCTGGACTCAGTCTGGTGGAGGCTGTGGTAGTTGTGGTCTTTTAGTCCTTTGGACTAATCTTTCCCTTGCGTCTTTGGTATTCTTCTCTCTCCCTTGCTCTAGACGGGGTGAGACCAGTGGAGTCTCTTAGATGGCCGCTCACAAGCTTTTAAGACCCCAGATGCTACTCACCAAAGTAGAATGTAGTACATTTTCCTTATGAACTATGTTATGCCAATAGAGCTAGATGTTCCCTGAACCATGGTCCCCAGAGCTCTCAGCCAAGTAATTCATTCCCTCTGGAAGTTTGGATATGTCTGTGGAGCTTCCATGACCTTCCCTTGGACAAGTTGTGCTGGCTTCCTCAGTATTGTGTACTATCTTATCCTTCACCAAAGTTACCACTTATCTATTGTCTATTTTCTGTTTTTCCCTCCCACCCCTTCCCTCCCTCATAACCATCAAAGATTGCTTCTTTTTTCTTTTTTTTTTATTGTGCTTTAAGTTAAAGTTTACAATTCAAGTTAGTTTCTCATACAAAAATTTATATACACATTGTTATGTGGCCCTATTTGCTCTCCCTATACTGTGACAGCACACTCTTCCTTTCCACCCCAGATTTTCTGTGTCTGTTCAACCAGCCCCTGACCCTCTCTGCCTTCTCATCTCACCTCTGGACAGGAGCTGCCCATCTAGTCCCAGGTATCTACTTGAGCCAAGAAGCACACTCATTGTGAGTATCATTTTATGTTCCATAGTCCAATCTAATCTTTGTCTACAGAGTTGGCCTCTGAAATGGTTTCAGTTCTGGGCTAACAGAGAGTCCAGGGGCCATGTCTTCTGGGGTCCCTCCAGTTTCAGTCAAACCATTAAGTCTGGTCTTTTTACTAGAATTTGAGTTCTGCAGCACACTTTTCTCCTGCTCCCTCAGGGACTCTCTGTTGTGTTCCTTGTCAGGGCAATCATTGTGGTAGCTGGGCACCACTAGTTCTTCTCGTCTCAGGCTGAGGCAGTCTCTGGTTTAGGTGGCCCTTTATGTCTCTTGGACTAATATTTTCCTTGTGTCGTTGGTGTTCTTCATTCTCCTTTACTCCAGGTAGGTTGGGACCAGTTGATGCATCTTAGATGGCTGCTTGCTAGATTTTAAGACCCCAGATGCCACTCACCAAAGTGGGATGCAGAACATTTTCTTAATAAACTTTGTTATGCCAGTTGACCTAGATGTCCCCTGAAACCAT